GCCTAGAAGAAAAGCAGCAATATTTTAGTCAAAAGTCACAGAATGCTATTTCACCAGTTCAGTCTCATGTACTTAATCTATCTTCTGTTGTGGTTCGATCTTCCTGATTGAATTCTGGGATATAATATTCAACTCCAGACTTGTCCTTACAATTAAGTTGGCCATTTCCTTAGGTTTTGAACTCTTATTTCTGTGTGACTACATTTAATTTTCCTGATATAGCACTCCCTTGAGAATTTCTTGGAGATCTGGTCTGGTGCTGGTAAATTCTTTCAGGTTCTGTTTTTCTGAGAATGTTCTTGTCTTTTCTTCCCCTATGAAGGATGATCTTGCCAGGTACAGTATTCTCGGTTGAAATGGCTTTCCCTTAACACTTTGAATATATTTTCCCATTCTTTCCTCGCTCACATTGTTTCTGATGACATGTCTGCTGTTAGTTTGATGGGATATCCTGTGTAGGTAACTTGCTGTTTCTCTCTTGCCAATCTTAGTATCTTGTCTTTGTCTGTAGTTTCGGTCAGTCTGGCTATCATGTGTCTTGGAGAAGATCTTCTTGAGATGATTCTATTTGGGGTCCTTTTTATTTCTTGGGACTGGATCTTCAAATGCCTTTCTAGGTTTGGAAAATTTCTAGCAGGATTTCATGGAATCGATTATCAATACCCATATGAGTCTCTTCACCTTCTGGGATGCCAGTTATCTGGATGTCTGGATGTTTGATGGCATCTAGCATTTCTCGTATATTATTCTCAAATTTTTGAACAATTTTCTCAGTCTTCGTGGTGGATTTTTCTAGGCCAGCAATTTTCTCTTCTACATCTGCGATTCTATTTTCTGTATGATCTAGTCTGCTTTTAATACTTTCAAGAGAGATTTTTTACTTTCTCTATTATAGCCTTCTTCTCTAACAGTTCCATTTGATTCTTTTGTAAAGTGTATAATTCCTCTTTTAGATCTTGCGAGAATTTCCTCACCTCCCGGAACTTGTCAGCTCCTTTCTTCTTTCTCTTCTGCAGTTCATTGTCTCTCTTCTCTTCCATCTCTGTTAGCTTTGCCATTATGAATGTTCTAAATTCTTTATCAGACATATCCATGATATCCATTGAACTGTCTATGGATGAAGAGGAGTTATTCTTTTCCCTTGGAGGAGAGATATTTTCTTGCATTCCTATATTTCTTGTGGTCCTGTGGTGATTTCTAGTCATCTGATGGAAAGTGTGTTTCTTCCCAAACTTGAAGTTCAATCTGAGCATCCAGGAGCGTGCAAAAAAGGTGATCTGGAATCTCTTTGTCATTCTCTTTTTGTCCCTTAAAAAACATTTAAAAATACCTAAAAAAATTATTTTTTAAAGAAAGCAAAAATTAGTAAAGTGCACCATGTGAAATCAATAGTTCTCAGGAGCCATAAAGGTGTCTTCTGAGGCCTGCTTCCTTGCCTCTCCTGGGTTGGGAGTAGAAGAGGGGATTATTAACAAGATAAAGGGAGAGGAGGGGCTGTAAGCTGAGAAAATGCTTTACCTTAAAAATTTTTAAAAAGGAAAAATTACAAAAAAATGGAAAGACAGAGACAGAGGTAGAGAAAGACAGAGACAGAGACAGAGGCAGAAGCAGAGAGAAGGCTTGAGGGAGCTCCTACCACTGGAGTTTGTGAGCTGGAGGCTGAATTATCAGTAGAAAATCTTCATTTATTTTTTTCCCTGAAATCACTAGTTCTCAGGAGCCATGAAGTTGTCTTCCGAGGCCTGCTCCCTTGCCTCTCCTGGCAGACTAATACAATTAGGTAGGTGGATTTAAGATGAGGGAAAGGCCAATCTTGCGAAGATCACATGACTTCAGGACTCTCCTCATACTAGAACACTGTAGATACCAAGGCCTACAATGTTTATCCTGCTTGAAAAAAAAAAAAATCAGGTCCATCCATTTAACATGCTTCTTATGTGAAGGCAAGAGCAGAAGAGGCGGTTACTCCAAAAATTTCCAGGGCAATCCCACGCCACCATGGTCCACAGGCAGCTAGAGCCCCAGTGTGATTTTCAAGCCACTGGGTCCAGGATTAAAACCAGGGTCAGATATGAGTGAGTCTAGTGCCTTAACCACCACACCATCTGCTCCCTCCACTGCAAGTCTGTTTTCAAGTCAGATGCCTTTCGTCATGATTGAGAAGAGCAAAAGTACAGAAATTGACTCTTTCTTCTCATTTTTTCCTAGTTTCATTTCCCTCTTTTTACACAAGCATTAAAAAATTTTAAAACTCAGTGGAGGTAGAGCATTATGTTACTGCAAAATTCAACAGAGACAGCTTTTGTTCTGGAAGCTGTTTCTGTCTCACATGATGGTGTTTAGTCTGGGAGTTCGATGTTCACAAGAACAGGGTCTACCTATATGAACAGTGCCCTGACCAAAAACACATCGAACCACATTACAAAAATGAGGATATAATGGTTTATTTCCTCTGAAGAAGATACTCCAGCATGTTGGTACTCACAGTAACCATCCTGCTGTCCATTCATCTCATTAAAAGAAGGTATAGGAAATGCATCTAACTTTAGAAGCTAAAGCGGATGAAAATAATTTTGTCCTGCTCACAAGGATGACTGTTGCTATGATAGGAGTAAGAATAAATACCAAAACAGGGATCAGCAGGTGGTGTAGTGGTTACATCGCTGGACTTCCACATGGTTGACTGTGGTTCAAGTCCTGGACCCAGTGGCTTGAAACTCACACCAGGCATGTAAACGTGCATGCTCAAGATCCCAGGAGGAGAATGAAGGAGAAGGGATTGCAGCATGGCCATCCCCCCCTGGGGCTGATTTCTCACTTTCCCTCTCACTGTCTCTGTCTCTCTCCAACAAGCATATGCGCCCTAAGGCAAAAACTTCTACCCCCCCCCCAAAAAAAATCAAGAACAAATACCAAAATCCCACCCCAAAATTCCAAATTCACTTGGAAGAGCTAGTCAAGCCCACACTGAAACAATTAGAGAATGAGGTAATATGTGAGAATTTTCTACTAAATGTTAATATTAGCTAATATGTATTTTATTTGCAAACCTCTTACTGTAAGCTAACCATTATTTTTTTAAGCCAGAGAGCACCTGGTCAAAAGAAAGAGAGACAGGAGAGAGAAAGCACCGTGCCCCCTCCCCCCCATGGAGTGTGGTCACATCACAGTCCCTTTTTCTCTGTTCTGCTATGTCTCCCGTCGAGATTTTGGACATGCACACACACGTGCCCTGCGTGTCCTTCAGGCTGCTGGCTGGCACTGAACACTGGTCAGCCATGTGGGCTCTGACTCCCAATGCACACTGTTTATCCACTGTGCTGCAGGCCTGGCCCTCGGCAGGATCTAAGTGCCTTGTTTTTAATATGAACTCATTTAGTCCTCACAACCAGCCTATGAGGATGCTACTATTATTATCCTCATTTTGTAGGGGAGACAACTGAGGTTCCGAGAGGTTAAGTAATCTACCCAACATCATACAGCCAGTCAATGGCAGAGCTGGGATTTAAAGTAAAGGGTCTGGTTATAATGAACTGCTTGCGTTCTTGCTCTCTAGTTCATATTTATTTTAGTAGTAAGAATACCGAGAACTCTAAGATACGTACAAACCACTGACATTTGCTTTGTCTCTCAGTGCAGGGAGGTTGAGCCTGGACAAAGCCCTTGACCTGACTCGCTATCTCCCCCGTGAGACAAGCAGCCCTGCTCTTCTTAAAGGTCTGCAGTACTTAGAGCTGTTTTATCGCATGGTGGACAGAAGGAATATTTCAGATGTCTCTGAAAACCTCAAGGTTTGTGTTATTTTAAGAAAAAGTGTGGTCCAGCAGGTGGCATGGAGGTTAAGGCACTGGGTTTCACATGGCTAGCTGCACAAATTTGAGTCCTGGAACCAGAAGTTTGAAAATCACACCAGGTGTATGTACATATATGCCTAAAATTCGGAGAGGAGACTGAAGAAGGGATTGTGGTGTGGCCACCCCACCTCCCAGGGGGTGCTTTCTCATTTTTCTTCTCTCTTTGTCTCTCTCTCTGGAGAGTGCACATGCCCTAAAGCAAAATGGAAAAAAATGTGTTAAGTAAATCCACAGGATCTGGAGGGTTAATGTGGCTCGATCTGTTTTTTTCCACTGGACACTGGCTGACAGCACAATCAATACCATAGCACCTAACAGGCATGTCCCTCTCTTGTCATTGCAATTCTAAGAGGTAGAAACCAGGATCATGAGCAAAGCATCACTATTAAAGGAGGTTTTGTCTTATACCAATTGATATGCCCCTCTCTGGTAGAAAATTAAATGATTTTTCATGCAAAATCTGTTTCTTATATGTGGTAGGTGAGAGCCAGGAAAAGAGGAAAGAAAATAAATATGAAGATGAGTAGTTCTGTGATTTGGGAAGGATTCTTGCAGAAAGTTGAGCCCTTTGGATGGGTAAGGTCTGTGTTTGGAACTAAATTTAGCCTCTCTGTAAGCCATCTCATGTTTTCTGCAGCATTACATTCTCCGGTATTTTAAACCAGTGATTGACACGCAAAGCTGGCACGACGAGGGCTCAGTCTGGGACAGGATGCTTCGCTCTGCTGTCTTGATACTGGCCTGTGACCTGCAGCACGCTCCTTGCATCCAGAAAGCAGCTGAGCTCTTCTCGCAGTGGATGGAATCCAGTGGAAAGTCAAAGTAGAGCTACATTTCTGTCCTGTTCTTTGTTCTCTTTGCTTTGATGTAAAAGTCTTTGATCAAGCAAGACATTAGACATAAAACCTTTTAGTGAGGATAAGGAAAAAAGAAACAGGAAAAAAACATGCTGGCAATTATATACCTTGTTTCATGTCGCCACATAGTAACTGCTCAATAGATGTTGTGGGTAGAGAGCTTTAGGTCCCTGTGGGGAAAAACTAGTAAACACTGGAATGGTAGCAGAGAGGTAGCCAGGGTATAGAAACCACAGGAGCCCAATCTCCGAACGGAATGCCTTCTAATCATTAAAAAATGTTAGAAGAAGCAGTGTGAAATATACATGCAATGGGGGCCAGCAGGTGGCATGGTGGTTAAGGGTGCTGGACTCCCATGGCCGACCACGGTTTGAGTCCCAGACCTGGAGGCTTGTTTCCCACTTTGTCTCTGTCTCTCTGTCTCTGTCTCTCTCTCTCTTCTGTCTCTCTCTCTCTGTCCCTCTCTGGTCAAATATAAATAAATAAATAAACAAATAAATAAATAAATATAAATAAAATAATTCTTTCAAAGAAAATAAAAAGAACTATACATGCAACTAGAACACTGGCATTTGATGAAATTATAAAGAAAGGGAGGAATAGATTTTTATTAATGTATTTGCTCCCTCATCAAAGGCCTAGCCTTGACTCCTGGTATCATTTTTGATGGAAAACTGATGATTTTATTCATCTAAAAGATGTGATTTTTGTGGCAAAAATGATTCTGCTTGTGGCTATAATCAGGAAGATGTCCAGTGATCAAATGGATTATGTCACTATTCAGTTTAGCATCTGTAACCCACAGATACTAACAGACGCCACAATCTCTTCTTAATTTCTGTCAAGTCCCTATTGGGCAGGCGAGCCCATGGCATGATGGTTAGGACGGCTTGATCCCACATGGCCATCTGGTTTAAGTACTGGATCCAGCGCCTTGAAAATCACACCAAGTATATATGTGCACATGCCCAAAATTCTGAAAGCAAGGAGGAATGAAAGAGATTTATTGTGATGTGACCATTTCCCACTGGAAGGATGCTTTCTCACTTTTCCTCTCTCTCTCTCTCTCTCTCTCTCTCTCTCTCCAGCTTCCAGCTGTAGCACTCATCTTCTGGCCAATATTTCAAAAACAAAACAAAACAAAACAACTATGAGTTCTATCTCTCTATCTCTTTATCTCTATCTCTATCTCTCTCTCATCTCCATCTCTGTTTCTCTTGCTATTAAAGAAAGAAAGAAATCTTTTTTTAATATTTAACTTTATTTATTATTATTATCATTATAATTTTCCAGTTTGATCAGAGAGAGACAGATAAAGAGAGAGGAAGTGAGAAAGCAAGCCACCAGGTCTGAGACTTGAACCGTGGTTGGCCATGTGGGAGTCCAGCGCCTTTAACCACCATGCCACTTGCCAGCCGAAAGAAAGAAAGAAATCTTAAAAATGGCATAGACATTATCCAGGCAGTAATTCAAGTTTTCTCTTTATTGTCGGACTTTTTTGTTCTTTGATACTCAAACCTGAAATCAGATTTTTTAAGAAAATATCTTTTAGATCTATTTTCTCTTTTTGTCCCTGTTTGAATGGGTTGTATAAATGAGGCTAAACGTAAACACCCCTCTACTCTGACACATAATGGAATAGTAGTAGTCCATTGTTAAGCTAGCTATAAGAGGCATGCCTTTTTTTTTTTTAAAGCTCATTTATTTTTATTTCTTCCAAGAGAAAGAAGGAGAGAGAGACAGGGATAAGGGATAAGTACCCCAACAGGGTCTTCATGCATCCCCTCCTGTCTCAGCCAGCCCAGATCATGGACATACATGTGTTCTAAGCATGTTCACGCACATCCAGGGACCTGCCCATGTGGATCCAGGCGTGTTACCTCTCTGTTACCACCAGGCCCTCAAGAGGGACCGTCTTAACCTGCTTATTCTACTTGCTAACATGTTATCATCCATGTGAGAAAAAAACACAATTTACAAAGTAAAATCACATAAAATATTTCTATAAACTTTGGCAGAAAAAGAGGTGTAATATATTGGGTACTAGAAATAATCGAGGAGTGATTCTGCTATGGCAACTTAAAATTGGTATACCAAAAATAATGTTTTCTTTTATAAAACTTTTTCTTCATGTTTGTGCTTAATATTCTAGTATCCCAACAGACGTTCTAAAGATCGTGTATTCTGTGGGTGCTCAGACAACAGTAGGATGGAATTACCTCTTAGAGCAGTATGAACTGTCCGTGTCAGGTGCTGAGAAGAACAAAATTCTGTATGCATTGTCAACGAGCAAGCATCCAGAAAAGTTACTGAAGTAAGCTCATTAATTTAACTATCACTGTTAAAAGTAAAATGACATGAATACAGAGAAGTCACTAAAATTTCAGTCACCCATTTTAATGACATAAAATAATTAAACCTGATTTGTACAGCTTTGACTTTACTTCCAGACAAATATATATATTGAAATAATGCAAACAGTAAAAACAGGTGTTCTCTGATCATGCGATTTATGTAATAGCTGTGTTTCTTTTAGCACCTTAAAGGGAAATTATTACTGTAAAAATATATCCTTGTAGATAAGTTGTATATTAGACACTAGCCTAAGTTCTTTGAAACAATAAGTAAATAAAATTACTGCTAGAAAAATGTAAAAGTTGAATTAGAACATGAAAAATACTAGCCAACATAAAATTTATTGTTGTTTGGTTAAGTTATACTTTTATTGTATCTCTTTCTGTCCTATGCTTTTAATATATTAGTAGTCTAAGTTAATTCATTACCATGTACATAATCTCTTTTTTTTTAAAATGGTTTTTATTTCTTCAGGTTAATTGAGCTGGCGATGGAAGGAAAGGTAATCAAGACACAGAACTTGGGGGGTCTCCTTATGGCCATTTCCAGAAATCCAACAGGGCAGCAATTAGCCTGGAATTTTGTAAGAGAAAATTGGACCCATCTCCTTAGAAAGTATGTATTTGGTTTTTGTCCAATGTATGTTCTTCTATGCAGATGTCAGTTGCTAAAAATGAAGTGTAATCAAGTACGCCTCAATGCTTATAAATGATACCATTTTTACACAAGCGGTTCAAGGAAGTCTACTGGCTTGACCATTCACTAGCCCAAAATACCCTGTCCAGGTGTAAGCAATAGGAATGAGAATGGGGGGGGGGTGGAGTACAGAATTTTCTCGTTCGGTCAAGGCAGGGTTACTGGGAACATGTACCAGGTGAGTGCATCCTATTTTTAGCCCCAGCCCACCTTCCCTCCTGTCTGTCACCCCCACTCAGAAGAATACTAAAAGAAGCTTCTATGGTGCATCAGATCTATTGTATTTGGTCTGCTTTGTTAGCCCCCGTTGTGTTCTGGGGAAACCTGAGGAACTTCCATGAGAGCTAATCTTCCCCATGAGAGTGACACAGTTCAGACCTTGGGCTAGCTGACAGAAATCCAGGCAGAAATGTTTGGTGTGCCCCTCTCCAAAATCGGATTGGTTCTGGGTCTTTCCCGGAGTTTCACCTAGGGGGAGAACCAGCGCTCACTCCAGTGTGTTCCTGGGCGTAAAAAATCCTCCAGAAAGAACAAGTAATAATTAGATTTCATTGGAATGTACAGAATGGCCTTGCTTTCTCTCAGAAAAGCACCCTTACCAAGACACTCAGCCATTCCTCACTCAAATCAAAATGCCGTTTATGACCCGTGTGGGAAATACCCTGAATCAGAGTGGTGTGATTTACTGTGTTTATCTCAGTGTCAGAATCTCCTCTCTTATTCATCCCCAGTTCCTTATTCTCTCTCATGTCTGAGCCATGGAGGTTTCAGAGTCCTCACAGATATTTTCATATAAGCAAAAAACACATAACCACTCCTCTCCCAGATCCTCAAGGAGTCGACATCCACAAGAGACCAAAGAATTAGAAATTGCTGTAGG